CCATATAACTAGTTAGTAGTAGGTCTGGTTCTTGAAGCTACACGGTCTGGCTGCAGCTCGCCCCTTTCTCCGCTGTCGCTCTCTCCCCTGGGCCCCCACCCTCCGCTGCCACCTAACCTATCCGAACCTGGCTTTCCTCATCGAAAGGAGGAATTACGGGAATCTAAATGAGAGGAGACTGCAAGTGCCGGCCAGATGTGCGCAGCCCGATTATTCTCCCATCGCGAATCGCAGCCTGGCTGACCTGCGCCTCTCACCCCCGCCCCACCTCTGTTCTCACCAGTCCTCGGCCCATCACGCTTCTCACATGTATCCCACACACGCTCAGGGCGCGGCGCGCTCCCCGCCCTCCTCCTGTCATCAAGCCCACGCCCCCTCCGTTAGTAAATCCTCCATCACCTGCTTCAAATGGCTGCGCCTCTCCTCCGCGCCCTCCGCTCCTTTCTCTCCTCGCTGCCGTGCACAGCCTTCCAGGATCAACCCATGCCTACCTAAGTATCAGCCCCACCCCCACCCCATCTCTGTCACCACCACCCTCTTCCTTTCCACGACCACTGCTGGGAAGTCCCTCTGGGCTGGGAACGCCCCTGACTCTGTACATGCGCCCCCCGCCACCCACCCCCCACCCCAGTTCCTTCTCCTGTACCCGGATCACATCCGTTCTTGAGCTCAAGCTAATCGTCCAAACCCAGAGCTCTGACTAGAAGAGTTGGGGGGTGGGGGTGGGGGGGGGGAGTAGAGGAGGACTATTGTCCAGGCTAATGGCTCAGAGACACCTGTGCAAGGCGAGGACAGGAAACAGTTCTCTTGCTTGCGCAGCGCAAGAGGGCAGAGGCTAGGAACACCACCTAAGCCTCCAGGTCAAGATTTCACCATCTTTAAATTCCATAGCACCTGCAGAAGCTTCCTAGGACACCCCCCAGGGACGGAGCCCCTGGACTAGTTTTTCCTGCCGTCTCCATTGAATGCAACAGCCACACCCACCTCATCTCTCTAGCCACTTCCTCTTCCCTAAAGAGCTTTCTGAATTTGAGTAATGCCATAGCTCTAACCATTTATTTTATTTTAATTTGTTTTTCAGTGAAAAATTGCAATCTATGATGTCTAATTAGTGTAGGTCAAATAGATTATGTGACTACCAAAAGTCACCTTTTTGAAGGCTGAAGATGTAAAAAAAAAAAAAGAGCTGAGAGTATGTTAACTGCGAGCAGGGAGAGACACACCGAACATTCCTCAATTACCAGGGACTTTTGTTCTGGATGATGGAATTAGAGGTTATCTTTTCTTAAAGATGCTTTTCTGCATTCCCCCCTTTTCCACAATGAACATATACAACTTTATTATTATGAAAGAAATGCAATAACACTATAGATCCTTTAGAACAGCGGCTCTCAACCTGTGGTTCACGACCCCTTTGGCGGTCGAACGACCCTTTCACAGGGGTCGCCTAAGACCATCCTGCATATCAGATATTTACATGACGATTCATAACAGTAGCAACATGACAGTTATGAGGTAGCAACAAAAATAATTTTATGGTTGGGTCACAACATGAAGAACTGTATTTAAAGGGCCAGAAGGTTGAGAACCACTGCTTTAGAATGAAGTAAAAAGAAAAAAAATCACCCATGATCCTAGTAGCATGAAAAAAACACTATTGTAGTGGGGTGGTTTTTTTTACCTTTGTTCCTACCCAGATGTTTTTACACAGTTTCTGTAATATTGTATCCTGTCTTTTTTTTTTTTTTACTCCACATAATGTATTGATAGTCCTCAAAAAATTTTTATGGCTGCATAATAGTCCATTAAGTAGATATATTAACTTAGCCCTCCAATTATTCTCACAATTGGATCCTTACACAATTATATTTATTTATTTACGCTCTATCCACTGAGCCAAACTGGTTAGGGCTGTGTTTATTTTTTTGCTATTATAAATTCATTCAACAAATATTTCTGAGCACCTATGTGCTACTACTTTGTGCTGGACATCATCCTGGGTCCTGGGGACTGGGTCTAGCAGCATCACACGTTTCCATGCATGTGGTTTTCTCCATGGTTTGGGATCCTTCCTTAAGGCAGATTCTGAACTGGGGAGCGACTGCATCAAAGAAGTTGTGGGAAATGAACAGTTCCTTCTCATTAATGAAATTCATTGACATTCACTGATGAGACAGTAAAGATGGTTAGAACTTTGGAAGCTGATAGCATCGGACTGTATCACTTACTACTTCTCCCTCATGCTGTAAAAATTTTAGCACCTGGGTTGTTTCACTCTTTTCACTCCCACTTCTGTCAAATTCTTGGAGATTTTTGATGATTCAGTACCACAGAGACAATTCTTCCAATAAATGCAAAGATGGCCACTACACTTCCTCCTGTCCCACATGACCCTTTGCAATGATTTTGCTGCTCCTCTCAGCAAGGAGTGGAGTCTGTTTGTCAACCCCTTGAATCTGGGCTGGCTTTATGACTTGCTTTGACTAAAAGCATGCGGCAGAAATGATACTGAGTGAGTCCCCAGAGTCTGGGCCTCAGGAGACCTTGCAGCTTGCCCCTTTGCCCTCTCAGAATACTTCCAACATCATGGGAAGAAGTCCAGTGTAGCCTACTGGAAGATGAGGAGCCCAATGGAGAAGAACTGAGGTACCCTGGCCACCAACTACCAGACATGTGAGGTCACACTACCCAGCCCCAGATAAGCTTCCAGATGACCACAGCCAGATGATGATGCCTCGGCAAGACGAACAGAATGCTCAGCTGAGGTCGGCCCGTGTTACCAAACAATGAGCAGATAAATGGTGGTTAAACCACTCAGTTTCG